ATCTCTACCTGCACTGGATGTAATTTCTGCCTGAATTTCTTCTTTGTACTGAAAGTGAAAAAATGCACTATCTCCTGCATAGTGTGTCTCATGGCATGGTATTTATTACTGGCACACTGACTAAATATTCAAGGAATCTTTAGCTTATGCAAACAATATTCAACAGGAAGTGTTATTTTACACAAGGTTTGCAAAAAATTTCTGAACAGCAAGAAAAAAAATCAGATTTTCCATTCCAGGTTTAAATGGCAAAATGAAAATCTTGCAAGCAGCAAGCAAGAGCTCATTTTCATGAATTAACATATTATTATTATTTATATGCAGTTTACTATTCTGCCACATAGCACTCCAGGGTGTTCCACCTCCTATCTTGCACCTCTGTTCTCTATTGTGGCATTTTTATACCTGGACTGAGATAAGAGCAGGACTGCGAGAGATGAAAGAATCTGGTACACCTGTTAGTGATGGTGCAGCGGGTGAACGGTGTCCTAAGTGACTGAATGGAAGTGCAGAGAGCTTTTAAGGTTAGCAAGCTGAAGGTATTGGGGTGGGGGAGAGCAGGTGATGGAAGATATTACAAGTAATAATGAGAGTGGTTGACCATGAATCTTGGTGGGAGATGAGTGCAGTAGCAGCATTAAAATGACTGTGAGGTAGCAGAAAGAAGGTGACAGTCACCCTCGCAGAGTGCAGAGGATAATTAATTCTACCTGCACTGCTGGGTGTTCTTTAGAATGTGGATACAACTGACTTGAGTGGCAACTTTGGACAAGGTTGGTCTCCTCTGGCAGTCCTGAGTTAAAAGGACAGACATTGTCTGCACCACCCTGCCCCCTCCAGGTATCTGTCAACAAAACAAGATGTCAATTTCTCTTTCTCAACCATGTCTGGGATAATTATAGGAACCATGAAGAGTAGCTTTTGCATGGCAGCGCTTGACCTAGTGCACAGCTGCATTTTAAAATTAGTACTGGTGCCAGGAATCCTATGAGGTGCCAGCAATGGCAAACACTTACACTGCCTGTGACTGCATGATGGTGTGAGCGAGGAATCATGGAGGTGTAGTGCATGCATAATGTGGTGAGCTGCAGAGAATTGAATGAGCTCATTCGTTAGAGTTCACAGTGAAATCCTGCATGAAACTCCACAAAATTGACACTTGTGCAATTTTTGATAAAATTTAGCTCATTGTCTTAATGTTTGGACAAATATTTTTGTTCAAGTCAATAGACTTTCCTGATGGCCACTGATTTTATAGACTCCTTACTTGACGCAAGTATCATAGACCAGAATTTTTTTGCCAATCCTTAGTTGCCCTCTCCATGCATGCTGCCTGACCCACTGCAATTTCTAGCATTTTTTTGTGCTCATAGTTGCCCTTGAACTGATTGGTTGTCTAGGCCATTTCGATGGACAGTTAAGAATCAACAATAGTCATGAGGTTTGGGAGTCACATGTAAGTCTGACCACATTAGGATGACAGATTTCCTTCCCTAAAGAACATTAGTAAACCAATTTGGTTTATACAACCAATAACAGTTACATGATCACCATTAGATTAGCTTTTGGTTCCAGAATTTTTCTTTCATTAAATTCAAATTTCATAATCTGCCAGTGGGTTTCGAACACTTATTCCCAGAATATTACCTTGGAGCTCTGGATTAGTTAGTCCAGTTACGTTACCACTATGACATCTCCACCCCTCACCACATCTTCAATATGTGTTATTTTAATTCCCAAACCGAATTAAGTAAAAGTCTACATAACATAGTTTCATCACCAGTTTAAGTCACTATACCAAAACTAATTTGGAAATGTTTGGATCTGAACCTCAGGCCTGTCACAGATCAGTTAAACAATTCTTGTTTGTGTTCAGAACTTTGTCAAGATGATTACTATTTATAACCCACATTAACTGTAAGATGAGAGAATTAAGTACAAGGTTGGTCATTAAGGAGAAGTGGTATCACTGTCACATGTCAGGTGGTGATACAAACATTGGTTTGCTTATGGAAGAAGTGAAGAACAGGAAAGAGTCCATTTTTGCTTTGGGTCAATGATAGTTATGACAAATTAGCCAGCAGCAGTGGAGAGGCATCTCTAGAAAAATCAGTGCCAGAGCATAGTTATTTGGACCTTGTTACAGCGGCAGAAGAAATGTAGTGACTTTACTAGGATTGTCAAGGAAAAACCTTTTCATCTGCCTCACTCCTTACACAGTCATGCAATACACTCTAGCCTAATACAAGCAATTCTGCCATCACCAGTCAAAGTCCAAACTTCTAATCACAATGGGACTCTTCAAGACACCTCCTTCTGCTTCCACATAATACTTGTTACTGACCTCACAACTATATCCCTTGCTGCTTCTTTCCCTCAGCGCACACATTACAATTAGCAGTCTCACCTGTCTTCCAAATTCTTTATCGGGGCTTACGCTGATCCATCTAGAATACTTAAACAATGTTCATATTAAAATGACATGCCACCTGATTAAGGCACACAATGCCACAGGCCCTGAAGAAGATGGGCATCATTATGTGGTCACCAGGAATAAGGTTGTAAACCACAATCCACAAGTTTTAAGAGGTTACTGCCAACTGGTCGGTCCATTCCATAGCCAACAATAAACACAAAGTATTTATTAGTTCTAACTTTGAATGGTCCGACTACACTCATCAGGAATAACCGGGACCAATGAAATTTAACTTTAAGCATTCAAAATACAACTTTAGTTGAACAAAAATGGTTTTATCCACTTGGTAACATGCAAGTCAGAAATGATCTTAGAGGTTCGTAACAGACAGCACTGTTTGGAAATTCCATGTTACCTCATCTTTCTACCATCAGGAGAAAATAGACAGGGCTGAGTTTCCTCAGCACAGGCATAATGGCGTAGTTTTCTTCCTCCTAAACACTCTGCCCATGCTCCTTTATTTTTTGCACTTTTACAATTGTCCAGCTGAGAGGATAGTTGGAAATTCCTTCTCAATCAGTTGTAATCCCAATGTTACAAGTTATTAAAAGTCTACCCTGTGATTTTTTTTTTGCCCTCTACTTTTGGGGAATCAGCAAAGCTCTACTTGTAGAACTTCAAATTGAGGTACCATAATGAAGCAAAAACTAGACCTAATTCTTTATCTTGTCATGGATTTGACCCTCATAATACTAAAAATGAATTATATTTAGAGATTTGAGTTACTCTGAAAATTAGCTGTTTTTCTTTATTCTCTTTTCTTTGTACTGTCAGCCCAAAGACAGGTCTGACCCATAGCATCACAATCTGCATCTCAGGTAGAGCAAGGAAGTCAATCTCAAATCCTAAACAAAAACAGAAATTGCTGGTCTGGCAGCATCTGTGAAGAGAAATCAAAGTTAATGTTTTGGGTTCAGCGACCCTTCCTCAGAACTGAGGATCAATCTGGCATATATCGATCAATTATCCTCCTAAGAAGTGTAAATTAGTGTGGCAACATGCACTTATAGATCCATGTTCCATCCTAAAGCTATTCAGTAGTTCAAGAGGAATTTGGTGCAGATGGGAAGAGGCGCTTTTCGCTTGCTTCTTTTTTTGGCTCATAGTTTAGAATTTTTTTTTAAACAGGATAAGTTGAAACCCAGGATCAGGGACCCAGCAAAAGAGAGTGTAAATTCATTGATTGGTGATAGCTACCAATTTCACTATATATTATAGGTTACTTCCAGATTGAAGGTAAAAAGGAGAAATATTTACAGACAAGTATGAATTTTCTAAAAATCAAATTAAGAACTAAGTAATTAAAATAGAGATGCCAGACAAGGTGCTGTGTTGTAACTGCATGATGTGAGAGCAGGTGGACCCCATTGTACTTCAAAGTGACCGCACTGTAGAAGTATTGGTTGCTTGAGGAACTCTGGCTCAGAGACGATGAGCTCAAGTCTGAGCTTTGAGCACTGCAACATATTGGGGTGGGTGACTAGAAGTCCATCTGGAAGTGGTCAGCATGTAGTGTCCTTGAGACCTTATGGGAAAAGGAGATGGTGGATCCTATTGGGTTGCTCCCTGAGCAGACTGTCTAAGACATTTGGCAGAATGCCTCATCACATTGGAGTGGTTGAGGACTCTGTCTGTACTCAATGGAGTTTAGAGGGATAAGGGGGTTCTCATTGAAACTTGCAGAATAATGAGAGGCTTGGATAGAGTGGATGTGGAGATGATGTTGCCACTAGTAGGAGAGATTAAGACCAAAGGGCACAGCCACACAGTGAACGGATGGTGCTTTCATACTGAGATGAGGAGCAATTTCTTCAGCCAGAGAGTGGTGAATCTGTGGAACTCATTGCTGCAGAAGGCTGTGGAGGCCAAGTCATTGAGTTTATTTAACACAAAGACAAATAGGTTCATGATTAGCAAGGAGATCGAGGTTAATGGGGAGAAGGCAGGGGAATGGCATTGAGAAACATATCAGCGATGTTCGAATAGGGAAGCTGACTGGAGGGCCAAATGGCCTGTTTCTGCTCCTATATCTTATGGTCTGTGGATGGTGGTGGTTGAAGCTCTGATTTTTTTCTATCTCGTGGCTGACCAGGAATTTACTCATTCTTATGCCTGATACTGCTGTAGGTTGGAAGGATTTACAAAATGATATTCAAACTAAAACATACACATGCTAGATGCAACAGGTCATAGAGAAACTCAGCAGGTCTGGCAGCATCTGTGGAGAGAGAAACAATGGTGACGTTTTGGATGACTTCTTTAAATCCCTCAAAAAGAGTTATATTAGGCTCAAGACATTAATTTTGTTTCTCTCTCTATGGATGCTGCTAGACCTGTTAAGTTTCTCCTACCCTTTTTGTTGATGCTTGACCTGCTGGCAGCATTATACAAATGTACGTTACTAGCCATCGAGTCTTGGACTGGAAACTGAACCCTCAAAGACAGGGATGTTACCCACTGCACCATAAGATCTCCTCTTAATTTTACTGCAGAATAAAATATGATGAGTATTTACTTTGGCATTTTATTGTAAGAATTCAAATACATGTAGGCTGTTTATAGTCAAGTTCTGAAAAAATTGTTATTGAAACAAAATTATTCTGGAATTGTTCTTAAAATGTATTTTCTGCAAAAATGTACAAATAGCTCAATTTACAGCAAAGGATACAATTACACCATTTGCAGGCTATTGTTAAACTGAGTACCTATGATATGAGGATATAAATATGAACAAACGTTTCGGTTTAACTGCTACAGCATCAACCAACATTATATAAGCTAGAGATTGAAATGGCTTCATTCATGGTTCCCACAGGAACCCAAACTTTTCTTTGAAAAACTGCCGCAACCAATTCCAAAATACAATATATGAGACATATTACATTGCAGACATTCAAAACTCTGACTTAGACATGTAAACAAAATATGCAAAGAATGATTTTAATCAGTTATCTCCCACAGTTGGCCAATGGCAATAGTACGACTTAAAACTACCTTTTTTTTTATTTTGGCAAGTTTTATTGCACAATATATTCAGTTGTCTTAGAATTGTGTTTCATTTGAAAATGAAGTCTTAAAATCAGAAATGTTGCTCCATTAATATCAAGATTTACAATCTACAAACAGGAATCCTGCTCAAAAATATAAAAACATCAGGAATACATTCTGCTATACTCTGTTTCAATAATCCATGATGTAATAGTTGGATATTCTCAGCCATCAGTGACAGATATGCGAATAACATTTTGATGAAAATTTATTATTTTCTTTACAATTTGTTTATTGTGTACGTGACCGTGCTCTTGAATTTAATGCATAATTACTCTCATTTCTGAAAATATCAATAATATATTCCCTGCATCCACAAAAGATTCTGTGGCTGTTAGCTTTGTAACTGAAATGCAATAGTGGCTCATTCAGCTTGTTGTAACGTACAATTTAAAAACAACCACAGGGCAGTATACATCATTGAGAATAACTTCAGTGGAGGGCCAATCCTACTTTTACAACAGGAACTGGATTTTTTTCTGTTCTCTTAAAATATGTTTGTCTTGAATTATTCTTTTAAGGCAGATGAACACATCAATTTTGAGAGGTTCTGTGCTGCTATTATTGGGTAATGTAATTTTCAGTGCTGTTACTTTCAAGATGGTGAGAATACTTTTATTAATTGATGCATTTCAAATTTTATAGTACTAGTATAACACTCATTGTGCTGTTTATACTTTCTAATGTGCTTTCTACCAAAATAATTCTAAGAGTGGACATGTACAAATATGATATATGAATGTAATTCTAACCAATCAGGCAAAAACATCCAAAATTTGTTCGGTCCACTCAGGATTGCCAATGCCGAGATTTCTTTGTATTTCTAATATAAAATTGACAAAATGAAAATCAGCACTATAGGAGCACTGAAGAAATTGATTGTGATTTTTCTTATTCCACCTCAGGCACTCAGGGTCATGTTGCGCAGCACCCACTGTTGTGATCGGATTCCACTGCAATCCTTCATGGTAGGAACCATTTTATCTTCTTCCGATGGCTCATCCAGACACTGATTACTGTTTACGTGCCGCAGCGCTAATGTCTAGTGAGTGGAGTGGGAAAGAAAACAATGAATTAAGAAATGTATTTAAATAATGCATTTCTAATGTAACAACAATGTGCATTTACATATAATAAAATGTCCTTCGTAGGAATAATGACCAAACAGGAGATTGTTTGTCGTTTAGGATCACAGCCAAGGAGTAATGCATGGTACAAAGATTGGTGTGGGAGGCCAAGCAGCATCATAGGAGCAGAGAGGCTGACGTTTCGGGCCTCGACCCTTCATCAGAAAAGGGGGAGGGGAAGGGGGTTCCGAAATAAATAGGGAGAGAGTGGGAGGCGGATAGAAGAGGGATAGAGGAGAGGAGTTGCAGTGGGAGAGAGATCCCTTGAGGTTTGTCCCTATCCCTCTTCTATCCGCCTCCCACTCTCTCCCTATTTATTTCGGAACCCCCTTCCCCTCCCCCTTTTCTGATGAAGGGTCTAGGCCCGAAACGTCAGCCTCTCTGCTCCTATGATGCTGCTTGGCCTGCTGTGTTCATCCAGCCCTGCATCTTGTTGTCTTGGTGTGGGAGGAATGAGTTTCAGTTCATGGGACACTAGTAGCAGTACTAAAGGAGATATTGTAGTCTGACAGCCTTCACTGGCGAATCAAATAAATAGGTCTGTAAAGAGGGGTTTAAACTAATTGGGGTATTTGGGGGGTGGGGGGGATTTTCTAGAGAGGATATGTGTAGGTTTACAAAGGAAAAAAATGTGGGAGTATTGCATGGCAACTGTCTAGGTAATGATACCATGAATGGGTCAGGAAAGTACAGGCACAAAAGAAAGTTCAAAAAAGCACTCATAGGGTCAAAGGGGGTCAGAATTGTACAAAGGCAAACTTAAAAGCTCTTAAATATGCACGATATTAGGAACAAGATAAGTGAACTCATGGCGAAATAGAGATTAATAAACATGATCTTAAATAAGGATAATTTCAAAGGAGTGAGGGTATCAGAGACATTACAAGAGTGAATCCTCAACCAGTGAATGCAAGGTTGAGAATCGATGCATCTACAACCTCCTCAAAAATTTAAAAGAAACCAGAAGGAAACTGAAGGAACACATCACATCAATGCCTGCAAGCCAGACTGGTGCCTGAAGTATACTTCATTTTTGCTTATTCCTTCTGCATCTGTAATATTTCTGGGGGGTCTTATCTTTTCTCTTTGTGCGTCTGTTTGTATGTTTTTTCTTACAAAAGGGGAAAGAGTTTAAGTTTTAAAGAGCTATAAGTTATTAAGTCATACTTTTTCTTCTCAGTTTAAAAATAATTTGCAACAAATAACTCTTTTTTGTTAAGTACAGTAAGCTGATGAGTATTTTCTTTGAACCTGGTTTAGCCAGTCAGGAAATTTGGGGATGATAAATATTTTGATTAAACCTATTGATATTTGTGATGACTTCAGAAGTTGTGGCGCTTGATTTCCAACACACTAGTGAGTCATGATACTGAGTAAATGCCAACCTCAAATTGAGGAACAACTGCCACCAATAATGCCCCAGTCTCTCCATTAATTTTAGAATTCCTACAGTGTGGAAGCAGGCCATTTGGCCCATTGAGTCCAAACCAATCCTTTAAAGAGCATCCCACCCTAACCTTGCACAGCTTGCAGATCCCTGGACACTCTGGGCTATTTAGCACGGCCAATCCACCTAACCTGCACATGTTTAGACTGCAAACTCCACACATGCAGTCACCCGAGAGTAGAATCACACCTGGGACCCTGGTGCTGTGAGGCATCAGTGCTAACCATTAAGCCACCATGCAGCTCATTCTATTTTACTAAGAAAAGGTTTCTGCACATTGGAACATAGTCAACAATAATTCTTTAACCTATTCAGTTTCTGGTTTTAAAAAAAATGTAATCATTATGGATAGAATATTCCCTAATTAAAGTGCTTTCTTGAAAGAGTTTCACGGAGTTCAGTTAACCTTAGCTACCAGTGACTTTTTCTCACAATCTTCACCTCTTAATTGTGCAGCTGAAGTCTTCAGCACCTTCCCCAGGGAATTCTATGACAGTAGAGGTAGAAGTGCTTGGCACAACAGGACCCTCCAGAGTTCTTGCCTCTGGCACTATATTTAAAGCTCAGCTATACACCATTTCAGATATAACAAGCCAGGAACAGCCCCTCACACTGTGATGCTCAACCCTCAGCATTTAGGCCCAGAGGAAAGAAAAGCTTGCTTTCACTTCACAAACGGGGACCTGGAGATCATAGAGTTTCATAGAATTATCATAGAATCATAGAATACCCACAGTGTGGAAACAAGCCATTCAGCCAAACAAATCCACACTGACCCTCCGAAGAGCATCCCACTCAGACCCAACCCCTACCCTATCCCTGTAACCCTGCATTTCCCATGGCTAATGCACCTAACCTACATATCCATGAACACTATGGGGCAATTCAGCATGTGCAAGTTAGGTGGATTGGCCATCTTTGGACTACGGGAGGAATCCGGAGCACCCGGAGGAAACCCACGCAGATATAGGGAGAACATGCAAACTCCGCTCAGACAGTCACCCGAGGTTAGATTCAAACCTGGGTCCCTGACGCTGTGAGGCAGCAGTGTTAACCAATGAGCCACTGTACAGCCCATGTTGTTGGATGGATGAGACATATAGGATTCTCAAGGGGCTTTACAGGGTAAATGCTGCAAGGATGTTACCTCATGAGAGGACCAGACGGCATTGTCTCAGAATTAAGGAGCACCAATTTAAGACTAAGATGAGGAGGTTTGCACATCTCCCAGTGTCTGCATGGGTTTTCTCCAGGTGCTCCAGTTTCCTCCCACAGTCCAACTCCTTGCCACAGTGAGCTGTTGGGGCAGAGTCATGGTGTGTATTTAAGGCTGAGATAAATTCTCAATCAGTAGGAGAATCAAGGCTTATGAGGAAAGTGGATGTGTCCAGTGTCAGATCGGTCATGATGCTATATCATGGGGGAGCAGGCTCAAGGAGCCAAACAGCCTACTCCTGTCCCTATTTGTTACAGTCTTAAGGATAGTGGAGATGATGGCAGGCATTTTTTCAACTGACTACCACAGGAGACAATGTCACCGGATCCAGTCAGCCTGGAGCCAAATTATAGTCCAGGTCAGTGCTGTGCCTTGAGTAAAGTGGAATGCCCAGTCGTGCTGGAGAAAGGTCAGTGATCTTCTGTAAGGGTAAGTGCCACCATCTTCATGTTACTATTTTACACTCACAGAGCCACCCCTTGCTCAAACTTTGACACTGCATGCAATGGCATCAACGACAAAAGAATTCTCATTATTGCATGCACTATGTCCATTCAATAGCTCTCTCCACCAAACTAATTGTTTCTGACCTCTGCACTTAATGGGGACACTTCACCACCTCTCCTGCTCACGTCTCACCAATAACAGCTCTTCCATCATTCTCAATCCCTCCTTTTGTCTCATTACAGGAAAGACTTGCAGGAACCCACTATTGATACATCTCTGCTGCTGCAACCCCAATCTCTGACACTCAATGGACTGCTAGAGACCAGGCACCAGAACAGCCCTTGGCAGGTGATGAGCCTCTATTTTCAGCTACAAATAACTTTGTCAAACTTCAGAGACAGGCACAGGAACAGCTGGCAGGTTTATCACAGGCAGTCAGTCAACTAGATCTACCGATGTTATCAGTACCCGAGTGTGTCTGGCATGTGTGTCTGTTTGCCTCCATGGACAGATTGGTGACTACTATGGAAAGCATACTCTGTCTGTGGGGTGTGTGCACTGGCCTGCACTCCATCACATTAGCCATAGGTACTCAACATCGATGGCAAGACAAGAGGAAGTCAAAGGACCTCAACTTCATGCCGTATGCTCCTTCGTCTCAGACAGACAGGGTAGCGTAAGTAGCACCGTTAAGAAGGAGAAAAGAGACAGGAGCCCCATAAGTTTCCACAGACGGTCACCTCAGAGGTTCGTCCTTTCAGCGCCAACCTTCAGTGCCAAAGCCAACAGTCAATCAACAGAGGGTGCATCTGGGCAGGAGACTCAGCAGGCCTGAGTCTAGCTCCAAAGACCCCTGGGAACAAACAGCTAAATCTTCTAGTCCAACAAGAGAGCAGGCTCCCTCCATCCCAACTGTGTAAGTCAAGACTGTATTTAGACATAGTAGGGAGGGAGAGGAAGAGAAAAATTAACAATAGGAGGCATGGGTCACAGATCATCAAATAACTCGACACTTGTGTAAATATATACCCACTTGCAGTCTTAAAATGTCTGCTCTAATGTCTTTGTTACTATCAGGCCTAGTGAGATTGCACCCATGTGAGAGATGACTAGCTACTTCAGGCATCCCAAGGATGAAAGAAGTTGTAATGCCCGAGCATTACTCATCTCTAACAAGCAATCAACTCTTTACTGCAGAAAGCCTTGGACAAGCTGATGGACAACGGTGAAGCTTAACATAATGTTCATAGAATTTGGTGATGTCTGCCCTGCACAAATCATCCACATTTGTGGCTACCTTGTGAGTGAGAACACAGAATCATCAATGACTCTGCACATGAGGCACAGTTTCAATCCATCTTTCAACTTTTTAAGGGAGCATACTGTCATTCAAGACTGAGGTGTGACCAATGGCAAGTTCACATATCAACACTCTCTTTCAGCACAATGGCCTGCTGAGAGAAGCTGAACAAAAATATTATATCTCTCAAGTTAAATGTTGTTCTAGAGGATGCTCAAATGTGTCAGGGTAATTTAGCAGTCAACACATATGCTGAAATATTGAAAGGGGATGCCTCAGGATTCCTCTCAACCTACAGCCTATACTGAGAAATTGCACTGCACAACACTTAACTATCATACACTGACTGAGGCCTTACTGTCCTGTCTCACTGACTGCTGGTTTGTTCCCACTATTGAGTAGGACCTGTAAAGTGGAGATTCTTGAAACTGGAGTCACATCAAATGTACAACTGTTTGTATAAGAAAATACTTACCAGCAACAAAAAAAAGTTACAACAACTACA